TTGATATAGAGATCTTTAAATATACATGATCGATATTTTTCTCATTGAAATTGAACAATAACGGACAAGGAAACAATATCCTGGACATATCACGAAGAGATCAGTCGTACGGATATGAAATTGTCAGACGATTTGACCTAGACAGACATGATATCATCACTTAAAGTTCAGCATGGCGCTGAACCCTGGTTCAGAAAAGAAAGAAGTTAATAATTGAACTGTTCGTTTTCTTTTTCTATTCTATCTATATAACATGCCTCGTACACCGCGTTGTAAATGTATTAACTGTGGACGAACGTTCGTTTCAAATCAAGTGCGGGATGTTGGTGTTGGACTCTTACGCCTGTTTCTGGCTGTTCGATTGTCGAAACGAATTTGTTGCGATGACATTATTTGTCAAAAATGTCGTTGCGCATTCCTTAATTGACAAAAAAAATGGAAGGCAACTTTGATTATTTCAATCGGTGGGATACAGATTTGGTGAATAACGATGATAATAGCGTAATAAATGGGATTTTTTTATTACTAATAGTTACTATGATAGTTTTTACAGGCGATTAGTGTTGGTCTTGGTAGTGACTGTTCGACTCATTCCAATGAAGATTTAGAAGTACAATCTAATAGTATTAGTATTCCCGTATTTCGATGTTCTAAATCTCACCAGTAAGAACCATTTCTTGAACTTCTAATAGAAATAGTTTTTGATGCTAGGTCGTGTGTGTTTTGTGATGAAGAACCTTCATCATTAAAAGTATTATCATAAGCACAATGAACGATGATTTATTTAACGTGTGGTGTAATTGTTTCTCCACGGTCACGATGTTGTAAAATTCATTTGTGTGAAGTGGATTGACCATTAAATCATTTGGTCATATTCGTGTATCGAAGGTTAACCGGTGGAAGATTGATTCAGTTCAATTTCAGATGTTTGTGGAAGACGTTCGTGCGATGTTATTTAAGGCCCCCTCCCCCCTCAGGAACGAACCTTGTTATTTTTCATTCGATTTCAACCAAAATTTCAGAGAATGTTAGTCTTGGCTAGAATAGCTTATGGTTAAAATATCGCCCCAAATCTCAAATGTATACACAAGTTCTAGTCAATTCATTACCGCTTACGCGAGGAAGGATTTCACAATGGGTGTGGGTGTGAGTGTGGGTGTGGGGTGTGGGTGTGG